TGCTAATCCACCTCCTTTGCTTTAGCCACTTCTTTTTAAACCTGTCTGAGCGTCCGGCGACAGAGATGTAGAGGATGCCAATTAGTTCCAGGTCCAAATCTCCAGCATCTTGTTCTTTGACTAAAGGTCAGGATGGATGAGGTCCAGTTCAAACCCCACAGGGTCAGTAGAGGTTCAGACACACAGGTTCTGTAACTCATCTGATCCGATCTTTCAGATGGACCCTGGTGTCGGCGCAGTCAGAAACGGTTGGACCGGAGCATGAGGAGCAGCGGCTGTCCGACCCGACCTGACCGTCATCAGCAGGTCGTTTAGCTCTGGGTCGTCTTCAGGTCAGGGTCGATTCAGACCCCAAACAGATCCGCTCTAGTCTCAGGCTGCAGCACAAAGTCATTTATTTGACTGAATTTGAAAGTGATAATGTGTCTTTCTGTGTTTTTTAGTAAAGGCTTCTGTGTTCCTGTGTTGTGCAGCTCCAGTCCAATTTACTAGTAAAAAGACAAACCAAGCGGTTTATGAAGCCAGATCCTGTTTTCTTTATTGATTCTTTCTGGCGACAGAAAACGAACCGTCGGTACATGAAGGTCTCCATGGTGATCAGGATGTGACACGGCAGTCTTTGGCACTTCCTATTCTAAACAAACATGCTGACAGATCATCATCTGTTCTTTTCACAAACCAAACGACTCAAATCACAAAGGAAACAACAAGCAGGTCAGGATGATGTGGATCTTCATACAGAGTGTAGAAAAGTAAAAATGAGTGTTTGGGAGAATGGGTGGCAGCTTCCTGCGGTTTCCAGACGGCTCCGTGTGCTCTGGGGTCACAGGTCACAGGTCAGCGTCTGCAGCCGACTTGCAGCAAAACGGACAAGATGACGATTCTGATCTGCAAGGAAACAATCTAGAAATGATCCCATGAGGTGGAAGTGAAGAGCTGGATCAGCACCAACCAGGATCCTGCTTTTCTCTCAGCTCAAATCGAAACTTAAATTATGCAGATTGAAAACAGAAATATAAGATAGAACTGAGGAACTAACTGCATTTTTGCTTAAAGCATGCTGCTGGCCTGAACATGAACAACGGCAGTTTTTAATCATCAGCTGATTGGCTGAATGATCCAGATTTCCTGCTCTCTGATTGGTGCATCTTCAGCTGCATTATTTCTATAATCTGCATCTTTCTGCAGATCAGCTGCTTCAAAAACAAACATTTCAGTTTATTAAACGTTTCTTCCTCGTTCATTTTCAGACGTTTGTGAAGAAAATCTGGTTTAAAATCCTCCTGACATGAAACATTTATTTACCTCTACAGTCATGCTGTTTATAAAAGTGATATGTAGCAACAGAAAAATGGTCTTTATTTAATGTCTTTGTTCTTCCTCATTTCAGACATTTAATTTACAAAAGTTACAGACGAGCACAGAGGACGGGTCCAGGTCCAGGTCCGGGTCCGGTACCGGGTCCGGGTCCAGGTCCAGTACCGGGTCCGGGTCCAGGTCCAGGTCCAGGTCCAGGTCCAGGGCCGGTACCGGGTCCAGTACCGGGTCCGGGTCCAGGTCCGGGTCCAGGTCCAGGTCCAGTGCTTCATCTGCTGCTGGGCGAGCTCCAGGATTTCATCCTAACACTTTTTACTTTCTTTTGTTCGAAGCTCAAAGTAAAGAACATTTTAAAACCCGAAGCACAGAAAACATCACAACAGTAAAAAGTTTGAACAGAAGCTGAAAAGATTTTGTTTTATAGCTGCAATGAAGAGCAGACAAGCCAAAACATTATGACCACCAAAGGTTCCCTTTAAATCAGGATCAGAGGATCCATCACAATAAATCAGTAAATATATTCTGGTCTGTTTGGTGTCAAAATTATAAAATGTTTATTTAACTGTAAAATAAAACCAGAGTAGAAAGGAAAACTGAAAAAACTCAGATTCAGTCCAAATAGTTTGCATGTATTTTTCTTTCTCTTTATAAAATATTAACATGAAAACTTTACACTGCAGCAGAAACACTTTCAGTTTAAAGATGCTGCATGAACTGAATCATTCCTCCAGTCCCCTAGGGGGCGCCGTAGACACCTGGAGTCTGCAGGAGGAATTAGATTAAAGACATTTTGATCCTGATTCCTGGTTTCCTTCCTCCTCCTGGTTCAGATCTAAACTTTCAGTCCTGAAGGTTGGAGACTCGACTCTGCTGGGTTTCTAACCGTTAAACAAACTGAACTGAGTTCAGTTTGGTCATAATGTTTCAGTGGTCATAATGTTGTGGCTCAAAACTCTTTTCTCTTTTTTTTTTTTTGCTATCTTACAGATTAAAGCCGTGGCGGTGTTTCTCTCCTCTGTTCAGAATCATGTAGAACACCAGACAGTCGGGTCAGAACCAGCCAACATGCTCGGCAGAACGTCCACAGAACCATGGACATTAAAAACACAGCAAACTAAATAACAATAACACCAAAACTAATAAAGTGCGAGCCAACAACTTCATAACGCAGAAGGGAAAAATTCATAAGACGATTCTGCTGGGAAAGTCGGAATGTAGATTTAGGAAAATGATTGTGGGTCACCGAGATGATCCGATTCCCAACTTCATGTTAAACACCACAGACTGAACACACACACACACACACACACACACACACACACACACTCTGACAATATCAATAAATACTAGAAAGACGAAAAATAAAACTCTGCTTTTTCATCAGCTGTGATCCGAAAACAAACTTCTGGGAACCGTCCAGAACCAGAACCAAACTTTGATCCGGTTCTGTTCCAGGTTCAGAGCAAACGACCCGTCTGACCACAGAACCCGTCAGATCCGGGTCAGCAGGTGTGAGCGCGGCGCTGCGGCGTCATGGTAACAGACCCATAATTCAACCTGAAGACGATCCGAGGAAAAACTAAACTAACGTTTATAAACACAAACAAAACCAACAGGAATAATCTGGATTGTTTAGTTTGTAGGAAAAGGAAAAATAAGATTCATTTTTCAGAATCATGTTTTCACCATGTTTGTCATTCATTTGAAAATGTCAGATTTAAAGTAAAGGTTTAGCTTGCTAGCTAAATATTTAGCTAAACAGTTTGAAACTGACATGAAAACATGTTGAAAATCTGACTTTAAAAACTTATAAATAACTCAAATTATTCCTGTTAGTTTTTGTCTGTGTAGCTTTAAAAACGGCTCCCCGTGTACGGGCACGTCTTCAGTTCCATATATTATATTAAATTCATTACACACAATGTGACACAAAGCATTTCTTTTGCTTTTTGATTATGACCGACAGCGAATGAAAGCTGATCATTAAATCAGGCCAATCAGACGGGTTTTTACTGGAATGTTCTGGTTACTGACGCCGTCCACCAGGAGGCTCTAATTACATATAAAGGAAAGTTGAGTGGAAGGAAAAAGTGTGCACCAGTAACAGGGATGGAAATAAATTCTTGAAGCCCATCAGTGTGTGATGAATCTGTCTGAGTTTCTGTACCTTTGAATTAAAACTCTGAATGTTTCACCTATTGTAGCCAGAGCGCTGCGTCCCACTAGAGGGCGCTGTGAAGGTTTTGTGCTTTTATCTCTGCAGAGAAGAACTAATGACATGGATTTTACTCACAGCAATAAGAGAAACTCTAAGACTCACAGAGGAACCAGATGGTCTGGCTTCTGGGTAAAAACCTGGAATAAACGGAGTGAACCTGAACACATCTTGGCCCGTCAGCTGATAAACAAACCTCCAGGTATCACAAACAACCCACTGTGACTGTTTGTGTTGATCTGGCTCAGCAGAGACGACTCGGGGTAGTGTGGTGACGACTCGGGGTCGTGAGGAGACGACTCGGGGTCTTGAGGAGACGACTCGGGGTCTTGAGGAGACGACTCGGGGTCGTGAGGAGACGACTCGGGGCCTTGAGGAGACGACTCGGGGTCGTGTCATGACGACTCGGGGTCGTGAGGAGACGACTCGGGGTCGTGTGGTGACGACTCGGGGTCGTGAGGAGACGACTCGGGGTCTTGAGGAGACGACTCGGGGTCGTGTCATGACGACTCGGGGTCGTGAGGAGACGACTCGGGGTAGTGAGGAGACGACTCGGGGTCGTGAGGAGACGACTCGGGGTAGTGTGGTGACGACTCGGGGTCGTGTGGTGACGACTCGGGGTCGTGTGGTGACGACTCGGGGTCGTGTAGAGACGACTCGGGGTCGTGAGGAGACGACTCAGGTCATATGGTGACCACTTGGGGTCGTGAGGAGACGACTCGGGGTCATATCGTGACGACTTGGGGTCGTGAGGTGACGACTCGGGGTCGTGAGGTGACGACTCGGGGTCGGGTAGAGACGACTCTTCCTGGGTGGCCAACGGCAACGTCGCTCCTGCTCCCGGGGGAAACATCTGGGTGACGGACGGGACGAACAAACGATTACCTTCAGACTACAAAGGAAGGATTCGGGTTCTGGTTCTGGTTCTGGTTGAGTCCGGTGCAGAGGCGCTAGTAGCTCTCCAGCGAATCGTCCCAGAATAAGCTCTGAACGTCCAACATGGCGGCCAGCTCCAGCACCTGCTTCTGCAGCAGGCCGCTCTCCACCGTGTCCTGCTTCGGCAGCTCAGGGTACGACTCCGGGAAGCTCCGGGATTCCTGCCAACAGAGGGCGGCGGTGAGACCGACTGGTCCCGACCAGAACCGGCTTTATGTTTAATTTACTTTTATTAATAAACTGTTTAAGTTAGCAGGTTAGCTCATTTAAACAGCTGCTCTACTGCTGATCTGTCAGAGTTGGTGTTTAGGTCCCCTTTTATTTTAAACACTAAATTCTGCAGCACGTCTACATGGTCAGGTTGTCAGAGTCAAGCTAGCATAGCTGACCTACTTCCCTCTCCCTCCTTATTTGTTTTAAATTAAAACTTTTTCCTGACCTTGTTATCTAGTTTCTTAATGTTGACTATTAGTAGCAAAGCTCTGCATTCCTTTATCTTTAATAAATCACATTTAACATTTAGCTCATGATGCTAGCTGACAGCTAAAGTCAATGCTAGTCATGATCAATGAGCCGCTGCTACCTGTCTGTACCACAGCAAAGACATTTCAAAATTATTCTGAGTATTTCGAATCGATTCAGAACTACCAGGCCAAGGAATTGCGAATTGGTGTTTTGGCACATTTCTCTCTCCTTAGAGAAACAGCGACTCACCCGGAACAGTTTATGTAGCCTCAGCGCCGCCGAGCAGAACACGAACCGGATCAGGAGCAGCCGCAGGAACTCGTCACCAAAGAACTGCAGGAAGGCCTGATCTGTTGAGACAAGGAATGAGTTCAGCGCCAGGCTCAGCCGCTCGGACCCGGTCGGTCCCGGTCAGACCCGGTCGGTCCCGCTCAGACCTACCGATGCTCCGGGATCGGGTCAGCATCTGGCCGATGTCCCGGAACACCTTCCGCAGGAAGTCCTGTGCGCGCTCCCACAGGCCGCGCCGCACGCTGCTCAGGCCGCAGACGGAGGAGAAGCCCAGCAGAGGAGAGTACAGGAAGAGCGTGAAGAGGCTGCCTCGCTGAGACTGATCTGGACCAGAACCAGAACCACAGGGAGAACCGTGAACACCGAGCCTGCAGAACCCGGCAGCAGACGGAAGCGGAAACCCACCCTGGACGCTCTTTGGGTAAACGGTCGGGGAGAGCAGACACACCAGCGGCTGGCCGAACAGGTTGGAGAAGTTCTGATTGGATCGAACACAGGAGGATTAAAACGGGCCCAGAAAGAACCGGAACCCGTCCAGAACCAGCAGGTCCACCCACCTTATAGGCGGTGCTGTTTGAGGAATCCACGATGATGAAGAGCGGCTTCCGGGTGAAAGGAAACAGATCTCCAGGATGAAGGCTGCGGCGGAAACAAGCATCAGAACCTGGTTCTGACCGGGATCCGGTCCAGTCTCCATCCGACTCACCAGTGCATCTCTTTCTGGGCCTGGTTCCTCTTCTGGACCGTCTCCCCGTTCACCACGTCCCTGTTGGTGTTGGTCAGAACGCCGCCGAAGTCATACGGACCTGCTGGGGTAAACAGGCCCAAACAGAACCAGCTTTAATCCAGACCGGATTACCAGAACTACTCCAGATTAAATCCAGGTTTAATCTGGAGTAGTTCCACCAGAATTCATTCTGATGATCCGTCACCATGGCTACAGCGGTTCTTAAAGGTGTATGCCTCTAATTATGGAGCTAAATTGGAGCCAAACAGTTTGCTAAAAAATAAATAAAATTTGAAACTGAAAATAAGTTTTGAACTATTTTAAGTTCCAGCCAGGAACCTTTGTATCCTGGCTGGAAAAATACCAAACTTTAATTAATTTTTAACGCATTAAAACCCAGGTAATTAATTAATTTTAATTAACGCATTAAAGTCCCACCTTAACTAAAACATAACTAACAGAAAACATGAGTCTCCCTAAAAATCAGTCCAAGTTTGTTTTACTTCAAAACTTGTAATTTGCACCAAGGAAACATTGAAAATGGTTCTGACCCAGAAAAAGATCAAAATGATTATTTTTGGAGTTCAGATTAAATGTTTTCTAAATCTTAATCTGTGTTTTAATGAATCTGTTCACTGCAGATTAATTTAGAAATCTGAATGTTAAAAAATGTGATTAATTGCTTTATTTATTTTTAAAAATCCTGACTCAAGTTTAAATATTATGTTTTAGTTTAAAATTGTTTTACACAAAATTTATGGCCATAATTTAGCTCCATACACAATCAATACATATAAGTTTTTTTTATCCTCTGTAAATTTTAACCTGTAAAATTCAACTGAAAAACAAAATAATCTGAAGATTTGCTTATTTCCATCTGAATAATCCAGGATTATTTATCAGATTATTAGTTTAACCTGTGGATCGTTTCTGTGCTCCAGGTTTTACCTTCGTAGTCTAAATGTGTCACTGGGAAAACTCCAGTCGCTGATAAATACACCAGCAGGACGCTGTTGGCAGGAAGCTCCTGGAAAAATCACAAAAAATAAAAATACTGAAGATAATCTGAAGCAGACAGAAGACGGAGGAAATCCGAGTCACGGTGAACTGGTCAGGATCCGAGTCACGGTGAACTGGTCAGGATCCGAGTCACGGTGAACTGGTCAGGATCCGAGTCACGGTGAACTGGTCAGGATCCGAGTC